GCTTATATACATATACATATACATATACATATACATTTACATATATATATATATATGAGCGTAACTCCCTCATACACATACAAACTGCTCCGTTCAAGTATATGCCAAAACACGATAGTATAATAGATAATCATACACATGAGCATATATACACATATTAACATACATGGCTACATATACACACCCGTTTAAATATGTCTCTAAGCAGACACCCATACACTGCAGCGTGCATATGCGCATGCCTGTGGTTCGCTTACCTGTATGACACTGTACAGGCTGCCTTGTAGTGTGCGTTAATCGTGTACAGGGGTGCGGCTGGCGTCTTCACATCACAGCACACGATGTTGCCGTTGTCCAGTGATGTCATGAACTGGTCTGTGTTGTGCAGGTTCCATGCCATACACTCCACCTCGCCTCCCAGCTCCCAGCGCAATAGCTGTGGGGATGATGGCCAACCAGGTTTAGGGTCTTAGGATTTAGGGTTTAGGGTTTATAGAGACATGTTGGGAGCACCTGTGTGCCGAGTGCTTGTGTGGGTTATCGATCCGATGGATTGGCAACCGCGAGCGATGCGTGTTTGGAGACTATACAGGGGTGTGCATAGTATGCATACGTATATATGCGTGTGTTTTAGTATAACTTATACGTTAGACATTTAAACAGAAAGCCCTTATGGATCAAGGTAGGATTCGAACCAGAAACCCTCGGCATTCTATACATGCTCATATACTAACCTACAAACATACAAGCATACAAGCATACATCCATACACACACAAATACATACATACATACATACACACACACACATACATACACGCATGTACGTACTGCGATACGTATCCGTCTATGTCTGAGTACGCACCTCACTAGGGGTGCGGCAATCCACCACAGCAGCGGTACCGTCGTAGCTGCCCGTCAGCAGCACAGTGGGCTGTGTGGGGTTCCAGGTGACCGATTGCACTTTGCTTGTGTGGTGAACGAGGTTGAGTGCACACGTTCCTTGCGATAGATCCCACACCTGAGATAGGGTGGGTGGGTGAGTGGCTAGGTGAGTGGGTGGGTGGGTTAGTGGGTGGGTGGGTGGGTTGGTGAGTGAGTGGGTGGGTGAGTGAGTCACGGGCCAAGACAGGCCACGCCAAGAGAAGACAGACAGGTGGGAAGCGAGGGCTGGCACGAGACATACGGAAGAACACGACGAGTGCCACAGACTGCACCCAACATCTCAATGTTATACGCACACCCCTTGAGCATACATTAACACGGTGAGTCATGGTTATGGTGCCATTCTCCAGGCACTTGGGCTGCTCTATAGTCGCCAGCGACACAGTGGCCGGGTAATGGCACACACGAAGGGTATGGGGCAATATACTCGGGTGCATATGGCCCCGTGTCCAAAGTTTTGGTGCTAAGGACAGGGCCGGGGGGACAGGACACTCCGCGCAGGCTGCGAGAGCCTGCAGCCATGGCAGTATTAAAACAATTGCACCCGGCTGTGTAGGCGACCGACGGGAATCCGGTAACCATGGCAATGAGCACAAGCCAATCAAAAGCCCTTACCTTGACGGTGGTGTCTGCCGATGCGCTGGCAATGAGATTGCGATTGGGTCTGTTCCACGACAACGCTAGAACGGCATCCACGTGCGACTGTGTTTGGTCAACGGGCTTGGCTAAACTCTTGGTCACGGTCTTCTTTTTGCCTGTGTATGTGTAGATACGTGTTATTTATATGCGAGTGTGTATGCATTTATGTCTGTATATAATGTGACCATACGTATGATATATGCGAGTGTCTATATTTATATATATGAGTACAAATTTG